AACGATCCAATTGCAGTTGACGTTAATTTTGACTGTGTTAAGCTATTTTCGTCTTTTTGAGTTTCGGATATTACACTTCTAGTTGATGCTGGAATAGATTCACTTAATCCCGTTTCTTGTGTTTGAGATTCCGATGATCCACTTATTTCTGACGTCGATACAGACTTAGTTGAATTGGATTCTTTTGGTTGAGATTCTGAGGTTAATTGAGATTTAGTTGTAGTAGCTTCTTGTGGTTGCAATTCTGATATTCCACTTGCAGTTGACGTTAATTTTGACTGTGTTGACGTACTTTCGTCTGGTTGAGTTTCCGATATTACACTTGTAGTTGATGTTTTAATAGACTCACTAGAGGTCATAGTGTGTGGTTGTAATTCTGATGATCCATTTGTTCTTGACGTCGATTCAGACTTGGTTGATTTAGTTTCTTTTGGTTGAAATTCCGAGGTTAATAGAGATTTAGTTGTGGTAGCTTCTTCTGGTCGTGATTCTGACGTCACACTTGTAGTAGTAGGTAATACAGAGGGTCTTACAACATTTGTCTTCGCTGATTCCATTGTTGAATATTCTGAAATAAACGTTCCTTTTGTAAAAATCTTCTGTCAAATAACATTAGCTTAAAAAAGGATAAAAGGATTAGAGATGCTTTATAGATTCTCGAAAAGTTTCAGGTGGTTTTATAAACGACTTGTATTGTTTGAGATAGTTCTGTACATATGGTATACGGTGAATACTTTATGCGATCTTGTAAATTTTTGGAGGGTTTTGAAATAGGCCGAAGTTCTATTATTCGTTGAAATGATAAGTCGTTTAACAAATTACTGAAATGGCATGTAGTTTTCTATTATAACGCCCCACCCCCACGGCTGAAAGGGCGAGCATGTTTGGTGACGGATATTCGAACCCGCGACCCTCAGATTGGAAGCCAAGCGCTTTAACCACCCGGCCATGCCGTAGGGGGCGTTATCAAATGTGACAGTCATTCCCACTATTCGTTGGTAAAAGAGTAGCCCAAAAAATTGGCGTTGGTGGTGTTGACTAGCTGTCTTCCCTCTGGTCTGTCACTGCTAAATTAGGGGTGGCTAGCACAGAATGCCCTCGTGTGGCTTTGCGCGAAATTCCAAACAAACCAAATCGAGCTCGCGACCCGCAGATTGATAATCGAGCGCCCCCTAACCACCAGGCCAGAACAACATGGTGATGCTCGCTATTAAACTTAGTAAAAGTCGTAAATACTTTTAGTTTGAGATGTAAAAGTTCAAAAATAATAAGAACAATTTCGCACGACAGTATTCGCTTAATAAGTTCGCTATACTTTTTACCAGGTTCATACCACATAAGTTTTGTTAAGATCTTTGTGTGTGTATGTGGGACCCGAAGGGCAATAGGTATCTTTACTTTGACCTCACACTGGCTGTTTAGTATTTCGCCAAATATCTTAAAACGTGTGGGAAAGTAAGGAATAACTTAGAGAGGTATAACATCAAAGCACGTTTTAATTAAGATGAGAACACACTGTGTTACATGATGTGAAAAAAAAAAGAATAAAATCATTGAATTCACGTATTCTCGGTATATAACAAAAACCATCATGCAGTAGGTAAATAACAGATATATTTCTGTGTGTGTGTGTTTGTGGAGAGACTTGTAAACTGTAGAAAACATCATTATTACCAAAACAAAGCCAATGAGAAATTATTCTTCGTCAGCTCACGTGCAAGTGGCCCTAATAAACGTGCGAGAAAAAAGTTAACGACTTAGATGGACTTCAAGACGTACTTTGGCAGTGACACTGTCACACTTTCTGCAGTCCAAAACTAAGTTTATTGGATATATATGGGAGTATTTTATGTGTTGAACTCAGTTATCTGGCACCCAAAATATAGTTAAGTAAAAAAAATCATGTTGCCATCTAAGTTGCTGTTAGAAAGAATTTTAATTTTGTTTTGACAAAATTTAAAATGTGTTTTATTATAATTTATTCTTAAGCTTTATATTACATAAAAACATCTCGTAATTTTTATGCAGAAGCATTCGTAAAGGCATTCTGTAGTAACGTTGTTTCCAAATTAAGATTCATTTCCAGGAAATAGTATTCACAGGCAATACATAACCTTAGCATGGTCTTTCATTTCTGTTTTTTTTTCTATTGTTTTATTTTTCCTTTCCAGTAAAAAAGTATTCGTTGGTAAAAGAGTAGCCCAAGAGTTGGCGGTGGGTGGTGATGACTAGCTGCCTTCCCTCTAGTCTTACACTGCTAAATTAGGGACGGCTAGCGCAGATAGCCCTCGTGTAGCTTTGCGCGAAAATCGAAACAAACAAACAAACAAACAGTAAAAAAGTTCCTCAGTGGCACAATGGTAAGTCTGAAAGGTTGTAACGTTAAAAATCGGGTTTAGATATTCGTGGTGGGTACAGCACAGATAACCCGTTGTGTAGCTTTGTGTTTAACAACAACAAAAAGCAATTAATAATGATGTTCAGAAATAATCTTCGGTCCTTGCAATTTCAATTTCTTTCTCACGTGAAGTTTTTGAATTTGAAAGACATCTGATTAAGTAATATTTTCGTATTTTCGTCACAAGTATGGTATTTCCAGTGTCTTTTCCAGCTTCTTTCCAAGAGTTTACAGTTGTTTTTTTTGTTTTTTTTTAGTATTAAAAGAGAGGTCAAAGAGGGAATTGTATATTCTCGAATCTTCTGATGACATAAGGACTCGAGGTTACTTGCTCGCTGCTTGTAACATATCTGTATGGCAGTTTTAAAGTTTCATAAACTTGTTGAAAAAGTAGATGACTCTTTATTGGTGCGTGCGTTCAACACTCCTGACTCGGACTTCTGTTATTAACTTCCTTGCTTCACTTCTTTCTAGGAATTTCCTCTGATAATTAATCGTTTTTCAGAGTTTACTTTTTAAACGCATTTCTCAAACACACGTACCTTATTTCCTCAAATCTTAACTCATTATTTTTGCGTTGTTAGGTTTTTCTTCAACCTTATTTCTCAGATCTCATTCATCAGCTACTACGTGGATGAAATGTGAGAATATATGTCCCTCCCTACAGCACTTCCATGAACAGATATATGTCCCTCCCTACAGCACTGCCATGAGTAGATATATATCCCTCCCTAGAGCACTGCCGTGAGCAGATATATGTCCTTCTTTAGAACACTGCCATGAGCAGATATATGTCCCCCTCTAGAGCACTGTCTTGGGCATATGTATATCCCTCTCTAGAGTACTGCCATGGGCATATGTATATATGTCCGTCTTTAGAGCATTGCTATGAGTAGATATATGTCCCATCCTAGAGAACTGCCATGGGCAATACAATTTTATTTATTTTCAAGTTTCAGATAGCTAATATTAAAGATCCTGTTTTGTGTGTGTGTGTGTGTGTGTGTATCTAAAAATAAAAGTGAGACTGGGAGAGATGTTAGTCTATAAACGTGCTTCTGGAAGGGTCAAAGGGTACAACTAAGTTACATTATAACTACATGGTACTGTGGGGATATTTTTCGCGTCTGCTACGAGTCACCTAGGTGCATTTATACGCTTAAGAAAAACGTCGCCGTAAAAATTACTTCAAACTTTAACAAAATGTTTATTTCTGTAGTTTGTTTTAAAACGACTCTTTGTTTTACATACCATGCCACTTTAAACTACATTATATATGACAAATGTATGTTTAATATTTGCTAGAATCTTGTTGTTGTATCTACGTAAACTTTCTTTAGTTCGTTGAGTTAAGGAGGATAATTCTGAATTTTATTTAAGCCATCTATTTCTCTATCTGTCTGTCTGTCTGTCTTTCTTCGTATAGCGTTTGCGTCGACACTATGACATAAGTACTATATAAAAAAAACAGGTACAGACAGATCTAAGCCTAATGCCCAAGTGTACAAACAGATCTAAGCCTAATGCTCAAGTGTACAAACAGATCTAAGCCTAATACCCATGTGGTTTCCCTTAGAAGTTGCAGTGTAATGTATGTATCTCACTTTTCTTATCGATTTTGCTAGGCTTTTCATATAAGCATGTCAATATGGTTCTTGAAGGATGTCCGCAATTTAAAATAATATTTTTCGAGATAATTAAAGAATTGTCTTATGACAGATTTAATGTTAGAAATAAATAGTATAAAGTTTGCAAATAAAATGATTTTTCGTTCAACATAGTTCCTCATATTTTCACCTGAACGGCACCTTATGGCTTAAATGGCTATTCCAAGTTCCTCAAGGCACAAGTATAATCACTCTTGATTTAAAACTACTGACCAGAGGAATAAAAAATTTGAGTCACCAACATTCGTTTGTTTGTTTGTTTTTGAATTTCGCGCAAAGCTACACGAGGGCTATCTGCGCTAGCCGTCCCTAATTTAGCAGTGTAAGACTAGAGGGAAGGCAGCTAGTCATCACC